AGGTGCTGGGCCTGGGAACAGCTACCTCATTGCACTAGAGAGGGATAGGTGCTTGCACTGGGGCCAGCACAACCAAAGGTTGCAGGGGGTTTGAGGAATTCTTGTTCCTAACTCAGGCTCCACACATTAAACTGACCTTGTGTCCCAACCTGACCTCATTGAGGAAATACAGAGGGAGAGTGCACTAAGGAGCAGCTCCGTCAAAGGATAGAGTTACAACTGAGGAAAATTATACTGAGAGGTGCTGGGCCTAGGGAACAGCTACCTCATTGCACTAGAGAGAGGGATAGGTTAGCACTAGGGCCAGCACAACCAAAAGGTTGCAGGGGTTTGAGGAATTCTTGTTCCTAACTCAGGCTCCACACATTAAACTGACCTTGTGTCCCAACCTGACCTCATTGAGGAAATACAGAGGGAGAGTGCACTAAAGGAGCAGCTCCGTTGAAGGATAGAGTTACAACTGAGAAAATTATACTGAGAGGTGCTGGGCCTGAGAACAGCTACCTCATTGCACTAGAGAGGGATAGGTGCTTGCACTGGGGCCAGCACAACCAAAGGTTGCAGGGGGTTTGAGGAATTCTTGTTCCTAACTCAGGCTCCACACATTAAACTGACCTTGTGTCACAATGCAACTTTGTTGGGAGTTGTGTAATTACCAAATTACTATGAAGTAAAGCTGAGCTCCAATTTCACATTTATTCATATAGGTTCCAAAATACAGGTTTTACTTAATTAGCCATTATGTTTCTCTAACTCTTCAATGATTGAATATATAACTAATTCTAATTTTTATTTTCTCATCTTTACACTATATTAATTTTATGAAATAAAAATAACTGTTTGTACAGAAAATAAGGATCTATGTACATCAAATCATTTTTTAATTAAGTGACAGCAGAAGAAATATCATTGAACTTTAAAAAGGTAAGCTTGAACATTAATTCAATACTTAAATGCAGTGATCAATTTTGAGTTTTTCTGTAGTTTATTGATGCCTATTGCATCTACTTCTACCTAGCTATTGTGAAGATGACCAAACCAAGAGTCCTCGACAGGAGCTAGCTTAAATTCCACCCAATAGGACAGATTTTAAGCTAGTTTATAATAAAACATGCACTGTAATTTTGGATACGAAAGGAAAATAATAGTTACTCTCCTTGAACCATGAAAGCAACAATAATGACTAGTATAATATATTAATATTTATTTTTAATCTTGTATAATCTGGAAACCCTGAATCTGAGTACAACGAAAATTGTTTCCTGCAGCTAACTTTTCTAAGGCTTATGAATGAACGGTGAATCATTGAAATCAGACCAGTGGAAGTGGAAGAGTTGCTTGGACACACACATGCACAAACACACACTGTACTTTATATATAAGACGACATTAAGTTTGTAACTATGCATACAAGCTGCAATATTAAAGTTTGGGAAATTTACCATGAAAAAAGTTACTACTCTCACATAGTCTCTTTCAAACAGCTTCTTTGCTGTCAGTGAGAAAAAACGTTTAATTAGTCGTACCTAGTTTTTACTCTCTGTCAAACAGATTTGCAAACTATTTTACTAAGCATAGTGAAAATAGTTGGTTAATCCTAAACACAATTTCCCTATCTTTTTCAAACATTTTCCTTACTGACAGCAGTTTGCATATTAGCTTACAAAGGGCAATGAAACCTGTTCAAATTACTCAAAATTTTGGGTACACTTAAGATATAAAATGTGTTTTTCTATAGACATATTTATACACATGAAATACCTGTTAGCATGACATGAGTGTATATTTAGGTGAAACAAATTTCTAAGTTTTGAGTGGAGATGTGGATTGTAGGGTAAAGATATAAAAGTTAAGTCAGTTTGATTTAATATAATTTTTGTTTTCTATACAAAATATCCAGATTTTAACATCAATCAATGAAGAATTGAGCCTGAAATATTGATCCACAATTCCAGATCTTTGGTCATCCCAAGAAAAGCAAGCAAAATAGAGTAAAAGATTCGGATTATCTCAGTAATATTACTAGCTTAGTTTAAGTGTGTTTTTTAAGTTCTTATTTTTCTAAAAGGCACATTTTCAGATTAACAGGTGATATTATTCACTCTTATATTGAATGTTTTGTTTTTTACAATTAGAAGTGATTAAAAAGTGAAAATATATATATATATATATATATATTTGGTTGGATTGATGTGAGTTTGTGACCCTTTTGCAATTATTAGACAAACTGATTAATTTTTTTTAAAATTTGGGTTCATGTAGATTGCGTATTGTTGTTATTATGGGAGTGGGGGGAATCGTCGTCGTGATGTCATCGTGCTAATGCAAACATAGATGCATGTCCTTATGTTAGCTCTATCTCTGATATTGAGTGCTTTCTAATAAGTACCGTGCATATAATATATAAATAATTATATATATATATATTTATTTATATTTATATACACACACTTTTCACATATATATATATATATATATATATATATATATATATATATTTTCATGAGAAAAAGGTGAAAAGAAAGAGTGGTATAAGAAGAAAACCAAAAGAAAAGGGAAAGTTGGATAGAAAAAGGAAAGAATAATTTTGAAAGAAAATAGAAGTATGAGCAGAAAGAAAAAAGAAAATAGATAAAGTAAAACAAAGAACACCAGGAAGATAGATTGGAAAATAAATAATAAATAAAAACAAGAAAAGTGGAAGGAAATGGAAAATATCAAAATTGTTGACAGAATCAAAGATGACAGAAAAGCAACCATAAAAAGATGAAATAATTAACATTCAAATTTCATTTTTGCTCAGTTCATCTCAAAAAAAAAGTTTCAATCCTTAATTTTCAATTTATTCTAAATTTTGTCATTTCCAAGACCACTTTTAAAATTTCATAAATAATCTTATTTTAAGCAAATGTTTATTTCAAGTTTATTCTAATTTACCAAACTAGTGATAATACTTCTTTATATGCCCACATATAATAGGTATATCGGTAAGTCCACAATTTGATGATGAAAATGAGTTTATTTCACATAACACATTTACTTTTCAATGTAATCCTGTCAATGCATTTACTTAGTTAACACATTAAGATCAAAATACATCTAATATAAAGGGGTGCCTAAATATCCAGACCCACTTCCCAAAATCTACCCAAAGGATTAAATATTAAAATATTATTTTGGAAAGGGCTCTTTTCAGTACTAATTTGTAATTATATGTCAGAGTACAGACTTACTGATCCACATTCATGCACACAGAAAGAACACAAATCTCGTGCTCTATGTTTATTGGATATTTTCCACAAGTTGTTAATGAGAAAGTGGAAGTAATTTGAAGAGAAAGCTTATGTATGATAAAATTTTCTAATTTGTTATCTAACTTTTTTGACAAGTTATATTTTATTGTTTTCTTACAGTTGATGATTAAAACTGTCTTCCCATTTCCTTTGACAACCTTTATTCTAGAAGTTCCTGTAGTGTTTTCCTTCTGTGTTTAGTATTAACACACACTGTTATCTGCTTATCATATATTAAGATCGCACCCACTGATAATAAATCCTAGTAGGAAATAAATAAATAAATCCAATAAGAAGACAAATTTTTGTCTTACATCCTTTTCTGTTTTTGTATATCTACAATGATAAAATTTATTTTAATATAGACTTCTGTGGTACCTACTTTAATTATTTTCTGACTATATTCAGATGGTTTGCACCTAGTATCCTTCCCAAATTGATCTAGTTCTCATTACAGCTTAAATAAATTGTTGTGTCATACCTTATAAAATTCTTTCATGTAGTCTATAAAACCTAAGTGTACATCTTTCTCCATTTATATTGCTCTTGGGTAGGAATTATTGGCAAGGAATTGGTTGGCTCCTGGAAGATGGATAGTAATGTTAAAATGGTTGTTTCTGCTTACATTGAATTCCTAAAGGCTTAAACAGAAAACAGAAGCATTCAAATTAAAAGTCATTTTCATGTTTAACAACTCTCCAGCTCACCCTAAAGAAATTTTTAAATTAACTTCTTCTGTTGATAGTAGGTTGTGTCAAATCCTTAGAGAGAATAGAAATTATATTAGCAAATAATGTTATTTTTTCATCTTGTTGTTGCACTCAGCTTGTCACAAGCAGTTTTCTATGCCATTTTAAATTATTGTTGCATGAGTCATTGGTTTCATTCTTTTTATCCTTACATACCATTACATTGATTTTTGGGATGATTGCATAAAAAGTGGAACAGTTTAAAAAATAATGTTTTGTATATTCACTCCTAAACTCAATTCTATTTTATACTGTAATGTAAGATTTTGAGATATTTCACAAACACAAAAGACTTGACCAAACACAAAAGACTTGACCAAAAGTTTGTAACTTCTCAGCCATTACTTTTAGAGTTTAATTTTCCTTATTTGCATGAAATTTTGGTACACACTGTATTTTAACTTTATATTGCCACTTTAGATAAAATACCTTCATGTACATAACATGATTAACAATTCTATAATATTTCTAACTAAAAGAAAAATTGTTACATGGATGATAATTTGTTGATGGCAGATTCAGAAAATAAGCTGAAAGAACTCTTAGACAATATAGAAATGGAAAATAAGGACTATTAATTGTAAGAAAATAGAATGCATGGTTGCCAGCAAAAGAGGCAGCTCAAAGAGTGGGGCTACATATCGGGGCTGGGAAAATTAAGCATATACAGAAATTGAACTATTTGAGTAGTGTAATAACGGATGCTCAAAAATGTGACACAGAAATCTAAAAGTGCATAAGTATAGTGAAAGATGTCTTCCAGAAACTAAGCAGTATATAAAGATGTAGGAAAGTATAATTAGAAAAAGATTGATTTGTTTACTACACCTTATCAACCCTTTGCAGGTTGTTTAAAGTCAGAAATTATTTTTAGATTGTAAGAAGTTTTTTTTAGATAATAATGATTTAGTGATACAAGTCTTACTAATTAATACATAACTGAGGGGAGAAGAGGTGGATTTCAGCACCTTGTATTCCCAAGTGGTCACCCATACTGACCAGGCTCAACTTTGCTTAACTTAAGTGATCATACGAGAACTAGTGTTTTAATGTGACATGGCCATAAGCCCTAGAAACAAAGAGTGCTGAATTGATATGTAATATATAATCTGTTACATGGTAGTGAATGCTGAGTTTCCTTAGAGATGAACAAGAGACTTGAAGCAACAGAGATGTGATTCTACTGATAAATACTAAGCATTTTATGGAGAGAACTTGTAAGCAATGAGGAAGTTTTAAAGAAGACAGAAAATACAAAAAAAACTGATAATCTGAAAGCCAGTTGAAATTTCTGAGGCATAATGAGAACAGAGGATGTAGAGAACTTAACACCCAGAAGACATGTTAAAGGCAGAAGAAGCAAGAGAAAACAAATAGTCTAAAACTATTAGCCTTAAAGAGTTTGTGTGAATGGTTGCAAAATAAGGACAAAGTAGTATTGTAAAGGATCAAATGTTACTTAGAGTAACAAGGGAAGGAAAGTGTAAAGAGCTAGATAACCCACATCCTGAAAGGACATGGCACATAAAAGATGTGACAGATATAAATGTGCAATAATTCAAAGCTGTTAAGCCTTATTACTGTATATTTCATATTAAATATCATTTACAAGCATCAAATTTTGAAAATTTCTCATACCAAAATTACATGCAATTTATTTCACTAGAGAGTAAAATTTATTTCTAAATGTTCATATTCTTGAAAGGGCTTAAAATCTACACAGAGAATCTTGTGGGATTACCCCACTTGTCTGACAAAGAACTTCTGATAACAACTGCTAAATGGCATTGCCAAAGTGTTATGCAAAGAAAAGGGTGCAAAAGTTTCATCTGTTTTTTTATCCTCTTTTATACACAAGATACCTTAGAGATAGGACATGTCTCTTTTCTCACTCAGGGACTATTCAGTTTCCAGCAAACCACACGAACACAACTTAGTACACAGCATATAATTATCCTAAATCAGTCATATATATTGTTGATATAAACATATATCAAGGTTAATCTGCTTGGTTTTCAACATAGTTTCCTTCATTGTCAATGCACTTCATCAAACCTATATAAAGAAGTTTGTTTTTATCATGCCATGTTTTTCAGAATGTAGCTGATCATGGCTCTCCACAGATTAATATCTATTATAATCTGTAAATTGACATGACATTTTAAGAAGATAATTCAGTAGTTTCTCCACAGATTTAAATCCAGAGTTGCCTTTCTTCTAGACAAGCTTCCATTCAAGGCTACCAAACTAAGAACTCTTCTCAAATGTAAATCTTTCATAATCTTTCATAGGAACTTTATGCATATATCACATATTTACATACCTCTATATACAAACCTTCATTTACCTCTTTTGTATACTTTCCATTTGCTCAGGTAATAAAATATGTTGTTGTTATTTGTACATAAGTGTTTGTATATTTATTCTTACTGTTTTTGTTTTGAAAACTATCAACTATCCTATCACAAAATATACCTCAAAGGTCTCCTGGTGCTTTGCCCTTGGCTATTTGCCATACTTCTGACAATAGGATTTATTAAATAAATAGAATTATGTTCAAAGCTTAAGAAGATTTGGGCTCAGAAGGGTTAACATAGATATTTTTTTATTTTTCATTTATTCAATTTCAATACAAAGTAGATGTTGAATGTTGGAAAGAAATTGGATATTATCAACAAAATTAACTGACACTTTATTTGGACAGTGTTTGAAAAGATTAAAGTTTAAAAAATTTAAGCAAAATATTCTACATAAAGACACAAAAGATTACAAAGAAACCTCTAATTCCATGTGACAGGAGGTCTTAAAACAGGTAAGTAATTAGAAAAACAAAATCTATAATGATATAAACAAACTAAATAAGAGGAAAGATAAAACATTAAAGAAATAAAAATCTAAATTGACAAGTAAATTATCTTCAAATGGCTGGTGGGATAAGGCGTGTTTTTTCTATTTCCTCTCCACCCTGCCTGCTAAGCTCACTTAAGCCTTGATTTCCTTGTCTTGATAAGTACACAATTCTTAATCAATGTTTTTCTTAAGTGCCTTGCAAGAAATCTTAACTACAATCACATAAAGTGAATCTCTATCATGTGAAACTAACAGCTAATTAGAATGAATTACATACATTCCAACACAAATTTTCTAAAATATACACTGTTTAACCTAAAACATACAAAAGTACCCATTCTAGTTTACTTTTTATAATAAATGCTCTTTAGTTGATTAAAAAAAATAACTAAAAAGTAACTACCTATTTTACTATAAAGAGATATATTGAAATTCATCTCAATTTAATGAACCAGAAAAAAAAATTCTAGGTAATGATAAAAGTAAACATTAATTAAGCCAACAATCACACTTTTATTGTTTTCATTAACTTTCATTTTAATTAAAGTTTTCAGGGATATTTTTCTTAGAAAACCAAAAAAGTAAAATTTAAAAGAAATAAGGATAAGGATATAAGGCTGCGAGCCAGTGAGAAGCGAGCAGCGTTTTTAAAGAAGATTTATAAATGTGTTTATAAACAGATGGAAAATCAACAAAAATTAGAGTTGATAAATTAATTTTGTTCATTTTCCAATGCTGCAATCATCATAATATACCCAGAGATGAAATACGATATTTGCATGATCAGCTGGCAACCTTAGAGGGTTACATCATTCTGCGACATATAAAAACATATTACTTCCCCCATTTTGTTAAGGAGTTAGCTACTACATTTAAATACATACATATGCAAATTTCTCTCTCTCTCTCTCTCTCTCTCTCTCTCTCTTATATATGCAACAGAAATTTTACTTTTGCACCCTTAAAACTTCAACTTTTGCCTTATCCTTCTGTATTATTATATTGTCTATATAAAGATTTATTTTATATATATATATATATCAACTCTGTGCATTTTCTTTTAATCATTATACAAGGCAAATATACACCCAAATCAATTACACCTATATATATATATATATATATATATATATATATATATATATATATATATTTATATATATATATATATATATATATATATAAAAAATCAATTCACTCAAACAAGGTGATAATGCTACTAAGATGCAAAAGGTCAACTGAGAGTGAAAAAGAATGAAAAAGCCACAAATCCAATCCTAAACAAAGAACAAGGGATAAACCTCTACTCCCATTCAAAAGACTAAGGAGGAGTCTGAACCGGGCGATAGGTGAAACTACCTACAATTGTGTGAACAGATGTTGTCATAAGATAAAACAACTCATCCATAACTGATAATCTCCTATTCTGTATAATATAACAGAATCCTCTTTTAGCACAAACACTACTGAAGCTTTTTGAATAAAGGTAGAAAAGGATTTATATAAAAGAAAAACAAAACTGAACAAATAAAATAATAAACAACATTGACAGCTATGTTGGATAGTTACAGATAGGAAAGAACATTAAAATGTAAATGGCAGGAGAAGAATTGTGAGGTTGACTTCAATGAAATCCATGATTTTCACTGCAAAAAGATAAGGATGAATAGAAAATAAATAAATGAAGCTGTTGAAAAAGAGAAAATGTTTTCTGTAAAAAAAAAGAAACCAAATATTTTGCTTGAAATTATGCCAAGTACTTGGATTATTTTAAAACTTGTTCAATTCTTTTAAAAAAATATGTGAGTTTTTTTAGTTACTTTTTCATAGTATATTTTTATTAATTGCTTTTCTACTAATTTTTTTTCCACTATGACATTGAAAATGTCTCATTAAGTCACAAATTGGTAGGTAGATTGCATGTCAGTTGAGAAGAGCTTTGTAGGTAAAAATGTTTAATGGAAACAATTTTTGGCAAGGAAACATCAACAGAGTGGTTTTGGCCCTCATATTTGAAATAATAACATTTGTTACAAAAATAAAAAAATTGTTTTCTATCAAGAACTGGATATTTGACAAGGATTGGAATCAGAATTGGTCATGAGATCTAATGAATTGCAAGTAAAACTGCAACATTTATCAATTTCTGAAAATCACTGTAATATTATAGTTTATAAAGCATTTGATTTTTCCAACTCTAAAACATTCTCAAAACCAACAATGCTTAAACTTGAATGAATTTGTAGAAGAAACTCGTAAATATATTAACAGATAAATTCTTTGTTTCTCCTTATGCAGCCATGGTTAAGATTATTTATATGTATTTTGTAGGAGGCATAGCTTATTTTTATGACTAGCACAAACCTGTAAAAGAAAACAGGGAGTCACAAACAGAGAAAATTTTGAATATCAGTATTAATCTTTATTTACCAATAAAAAGAAATTAGATTAAGCAATCAGTAAACAACAAAATTAGGCATTTTTGGGAAGCAATCAGTATCCTATAAATAATTTGTTTTCTGACTGAAAACTTTGCTACTCAGCTGGGTGCTAGACATTGTACAACAAGCTATGACCTGATTTACTTAGTTAAAAGTTCTTTCATTTTCTTTCTTGCTGAGATGAAACTCTGAACATATTTCATACAAATTTTATATAGCTTATCCTATGTCATAAAAGTTATTTATATTATTATTACCTCATTAAAATATGCATTAATATTTACATATCTATGCATCCTCAAACTACTAACTCTATTTTAGCATGCATAAAAGAGATATGAACTTTTTAAACAAGTACAGAAGTTTAAATATCTGGGAAGCATATTAACATAGACTCAGAAAATGCAACACTGAGATCCAAATGCTAGAAAAAGCATTACAAAAGCTAAGCAAGGTGCTGAGAAATGTAAAAAATTATTAGAAATAAAGAAAAGAGTGCTAGATTGTTATGTAATATCCATCTTCTTATACAGCAGTGAATGCTAATCTCCCCACAGATGAGAGAAAAACTAGAGGCTGCAGAAATGTGGTTCTCCAGAGGTATACTGAAAATTCTATGTATGTAAGCAAAAGAAAGTATTTAAAAAAATGTCAACAGAAAGAACTTATACTCAGAATCAAGAAGGACGGTTTAAATTCCTTGGACATATAATGCAGAAGGAAGGCTTGGAAAAGTTAACCAATATGGGGCACATTGAGTGCAAGAGAGATAGG